TAAATAATAATCAAATCATGTTTTTTTGAGACAGGGTCTTGCTCTGTCACCCAGTCTGGATTGCAGTGGCGCAGTCTGGGCTCACCGCATCCCTCTGCCTCCCAGGTTGGATCAATTCTTGTTTCTCAGCCTCCCAAGTAGCTGGGATTACAGACGTGCAACACCACGCCTGGCTAATTTTTTCTGTATTTTTAGTAGGGTTTCATCATGTTGGCCTGGCTGGTCTTGAACTCCTGGCCTCAAGTTATCTGCCTGCCTCAGCCTCCCAAAGTATTGGAATTACAGGCGTGAGTCACCGTGCCCGGTTATGGGCCTAAATTAGAAAAAAATCAGGCTGGAAAGTGGAATAAAAAAAGAGATTCCAGCGTAGAGGATTATATAATAAAAATAAGACTTGTCATGGATGAATTATTGTGGAGAACAAATGATGTAAAAATGTACTAAGAGTGGTCAGAGGAAAAAGTTATATGAAGTCCAAAGCCAAAATGTGAATTTCAAAAAAAAAAAAGAAAAAAACCATGCTGATTCATGATATATTGGATCTTATTTCTATGGCAATTACCTTTAGTGTTGGGCTTTACTATACAATCTGTTTGCAAAGAAAAGAAACCTTTTAAGAAAATACCAAAAATACAAATGAGAATATTACAGTGTCAACCCATTTGCAAGCACCTACATTTTGTTAACATTCGACAGTGATATGTTTATTTGGGATTATTAATTACTCTTAACAATTATATGCGATCTGATCAACAGTCATCTGAGTCTGTCTTTAGTCTTTCCCTTATATTTTTTCTTTTAATTCTAGGTATCTGTAATTCTTGCCCACCAAACAAGCCTACAGAATCTGTTCAGTCAAATAACTCCAGCTCATTTCTGAATTTTGGTATGTGTGTCATTTTACTGAAGAGTTAAACAAATTACCTAAATTACTCATTTACAGTATAACAGATACAACTTTAAATATGATTTTAGGTTGCACATATAGGTCCTTATGTTTATATTCTTTTCCATGCAATTTATCTTTTTATTTTTAACCTTAACTACCTCTTAACATCTCACACAGAACTAAATTATCTAGTATATGTGGAAAATAAAGCTAGGTAACCAAATGATTGTGTTGGCATGTAGTAAATAAATATGACTATCCAAATGAAGAAATTGAGATGCTGTGATATTCCAGTTCATATCTAAAGCAAATTTATGAAAAACATACAAGTATGATAAAAAGAATAGCAGTTGCCACTATTTAGTCTCATATAACTAATTTAATAGTAGGAAATGAAGCACAATTCTGACAGTTTTAAGGTTTGCTTACCCAATTCCTCCTAAGTTAAGCTATAAACTTAAAATGATAATTTTATATTATTCTAAGCATTCTATTATTCTGTGTGATACATATTTATGATACTATTTAAAGTAGTATCAGGTATAATTTTTTGTAAGAAGAATAGCAATTAGTAGTAGGCTATTACTACTAAACATTATTATTAATCAACCCCCTGAAAGAGTGTGAGGCCTCCAGGAGTCCCTGAATCACACTTTGAGAACTGTCGCTTAATGGTATTGTCCTTACTTACACAATCAAAATTAGGTTGCTGCCACATCCAGACTGTAAGTGGCAAGAAAAGAGGAAAAAGTGGAGGTGTGGCCTCCTCTTCTTACTCTACAAAGGCACTGGCCCGGAAATGGCCAGATCATATCAGCTCATATTCCCTTGAAGAGAACTCAGACATGTGCTATAATTAAACTGCAAAAGAGACTGGGGAATGTAATATTGCTGGGCAGACAGAAAAAACTGCCTACATACAATTCTATTTGAGGAAGAAGCAAAGAGGATATTGGTGGATGGGGAGCAATATCTGCCACGCCTAAGTTAGAGTCCCTGTGTCATCTTCACAAAATGTTTAACTAAAATCTCTGGATCCGTCTTTTTTGCCATAAAATTTTGTTTGGATTTCATTAACTCTAAGGTTTAAAAAGTTATAATTTAGGCTGGGAGGGGTGATTCACACCTGTAATCCCAGCACTTTGGGAGGGCGAGGCGGGTGGATCATGAGGACAGGAGATCAAGACCATCTTGGCCAACATGGTGAAACCCTGTCTCTACTAAAAATACAAAAATTAGCAGGGCATGGTAGCACATGCCTGTAATCCCAGCTACTTGGGAGGCAGAGGCAGGAGAATTGCTTGAACCAGGGAGTCGGAGGTTGCAGTGAGCTGAGATCGCGCCACTGCACTCCATGCTGGCGACAGAATGAGACTCCATCTCAAAAAAAAAAAAGTTATAATTTAAAAAATAAGTTATGATTTACACGAAATCACTTAGCTAAAACATTCACATAGAATATTGTAAAAACTACGAAAAAAGCAAGCCAGGCATGGTGGTTCATGCCTATAATCCCAGCACTTTGGGAGGTTGAGGTGAGGGTCCCTTGAGCCCAGGAGTTGAAGACCAGTCTGGGTAACACAGTGAGACAATCTCATTTAAAAAAAAAAAAAAAAAAGGAAAAAAGAGAAAAAAGCTCCCTACTTTGCCCGGAACATAAATGTTCTCTGCTTCCTTCTTTACTCTAAATCAGTGATACAACTTGAGTAACTCTAGGCCTACCTAGCTTAACAACAGTCTATATAATCTAATATGAGGATAAAATATTAGAGAGCTGCCTCCATGCTGCTTCCTCTCAAATATGCCTAGATTTGAACATTTTACCTACTTAAAAAGCAGCACTTTCATGCCTGTAATTCTAGCACTTTGGGAGGCTGAGGAGGGAGGATTGCTTGGGGCCAGGAGTTTGAGACCAGTCTAAGCAACACAGTGAGACTCTGTCTCTACAAATTTTTTTTTAAACTAGCCAGGCATGGTGGCATGTGCCTGTAGTCCCAGCTACTCAGGAGGCTGAGGTGGGAGGGTCACTTGAGCCCTGAAGGTTGAGGCTGCAGTGAGCCATGATCACGCCACTGCACTCTAGCCTGGGTGACAGTGCAAGACCCTGTCTTGGAAAAAAAAAACCCAAAACATCAGCACTTACTTTTTTAAGGCAATATCAATTTAAGTGCATGTTACTCAAAAAAGTACTGAAATCGGAATGAAAAAAATTTGTGATTCAGGTTTATTTTCCCTGAATTGGCCCACATGCAAAAAAAGGTAGCTCGAAACTGTTTTAAACTACTGAGAATTGACCAGAGGAAGAGATTGAATATAGGTATTCCTAAAATTTTAGGTACTCAGTACTAATATATATCCATATCTCTATTCCTAGTCCACTTGGGTTACAATCAAGTGATCTGTACTGACAGGATGATTCTGACTATTGTGTGTGAAACATTTTAACCAAAAGTATTCCTTCCATCTTCTTTCTTACCACTGGGAAGAGTAAAATGTACATCAACTAGGCTGTGCGTCCCCTCCACCAATTTTTTTAATCACCACCATTAAGAAATTTGAATGTGCTTTTTTTTCTTGAATCTTCTTTCCCCTTCCCTACTCTTCTTCTCTTCCAGTTCTGGCATAGTTTTCTAGGTTGGAAATTTTCTTTTTCTTTCTTTTTTTTTTTTTTTAAATGAGATGGAGCCTCGCTCTATCACCCAGGCTGGAGTGCAGTGGCACGATATCGGCTCACTGCAACCTTGGCCTCCTGGGTTCAAGCGATTCTTCTGCCTCAGCCTTCCGAGTAGCTGGCATTACAGGCACTCATCACCATGCCCAGCTAATTTTTGTATTTTTAGTAGAGACAAGGTTTCACCATGTTGGCCAGGCTAGTCTTGAACTCCTGCCCTTACGTGATCCACTCACCTTGGCCTCCCAAAGTGCTGGGATTACAGGTGTGAGCCACCATGCCTGGCTTCTGGGTTGAAATTTAAGCAACATTTGAGTAGTTACCATGTGCTTGAATTCCTGGCCTCAAGCTATCTTCCATACTCACCTCCAAAAGTGCTGGGAATATAGGTGTGAGCCAACATGACTGGCCTGAGCAACATTTGAGTACTTACTATGTGCCAGGCATTGTGCTGGATGCTGTGCGTTTTTGTTTTTGTAATTCTTTTTTTTTTTTTTTTCTTTCCCTCTGCAGCCTTGACCTCCCTGAGCTCAAATGATTTGCCCACCTCAGCCTCCTGAGTATCTGGGACCAGAGGTGCAAGCCACCATGCCCAGCTAATTTCTTTTTGTTTTTTTTTTGTAGAGACAGGGTTTCACTATGTTGCCCAGGCTGGTCTTGAATTCCTGGGCTCAAGCAATCCACCTGCCTTGGCCTCCAAACCTGTGGGATTACTCAAAGGCGTGAGCCACTGCACCTCATCCCATTCGCTTTTTACACAAATATCTCATTTGATCTTTACATCAGTTTTTTAAGGTAGACAGTACAACTTGTATGATGATGAAATTAAAGGTTTAGGAATATCTTTGAGTTTTCCATTTTATTATTCCTCTATACTTCGAACCTTTCATTTCTCACTGTAAGTTTCTAAAGTTGCTAAGTGTAAGATAACTGAAAAATACACTGCCATTAGGCCTGGCTTAGTGGCTCACACCTGTAATCCTAGCACTTTGGGAGGCCAAGGTGGTCAGGAGTTTGAGACCAGCCTGGCCAACAGGGTGAAACCCCATCTCTACTAAAAATACAAAAATTACGCAGGCATGTTGGCTGGCACCTGTAATTCCGGCTACTCGGGAGGCTGAGGCAGGAGTATCGCTTGAACCCAGGAGGCGGAGGTTGCAGTGAGCCGAGATCGTGCCACTGCACTCCAACGTGGGCAACAGAGCAAGACTCCGTCTCAAACAAAAAACAAACAAACAAAAAGACATTACCATCAAAGAAAAGTCATAAAGTCATATGTTGCTGAAATGATAAAGAACCAACATCATCAACCTGCATACCTTTTGAAAACATCCAGAAATAGCCTTCATTAGTTGTGAAAAATTTTCTCATCCTCCTTTTTTGGGGTAGGGTAGGGGGAACAAGTTTGAAGAAGAAAGATAAATAATAATGATTACTTACCTACTTCGTTTTTCAGAATTGTTTATTTTTTTCTAAGCTTTTCAAACATAATCTCTTAGTAAATTGAAGGATTTCTGGACTGACATAGAAGTATATCTAGATGTAATGCAATAATATTATAAGTAACGGTGCTATATTTTTGTGAAATTAAAATTTCCCAGCTTCATTTAATGGGAAGGAGTGGATGACAAAAAGTCATAGATAAATGATATTATATACTAAATTATCAAAGGCTATATATAACCAGGGTCCTACATTCTATTATTACCATTATTAAATTTGTAAATGCTCTTCAAAGTGTTATTAGTATTCTGTTATCATTTAAACTTTATATTACTATAATCCTTTTATAATCTATTACTAAATTGGTCAAGATGCTGCCTAAACTTAAAAAAAAAGACCATGTATTTGCATATATTATACTCTAAAATCCAAGTATTCATTTCTATACTTAAAACATCTTTTTCATTCAACTTCATTTTTGTTCCCAGGTTTTGCAAACCGTTTTTCAAAACCCAAAGGACCAAGGAATCCACCACCAACTTGGAATATCTAATAAAACTCCAGATTTGTAAGCATATGGGCTGCAAGTACACCTGCAAATAAAACTACTGGAATACTGCTAGCTAAAATAAGTGCTCTATACGCATAATATCAAATATGAAGATATGCTAATGTGTTAATAGCTTTTAAAAGAAAAGCAAAATGTAAGTTTTGCATTTTCATATCATTTACATTGAGTTGAAAACTGCAAATAAAAGTTTGTCACTTGAGCTTATGTAGAGAATGCTATATGAGAAACACTTTTAGAATGGATTTTTCATTTTTGCCAGTTATTTTTTATTTTCTTTTACTTTTTTACATAAACGTAAACTTCAAAAGGTTTGTAAGATTTGGATCTCAACTAATTTCTACATTACCAGAATGTACTATAAAAAGTTAAAAAAGGAACTTACCTTGTGGGTTGCAATACAAATTGCTCTTGACAATGACTATTCCCTAAGTTATTTTTGCCTAAATGAAGTATACCTTGTAAATCTTCCCAAATATTGTGGAAAACTGGAATATTAAGAAAATGAGAAATTATATTTACAAAAATAAAATGTGCAAATAATGACAATTATTTGAATATAACAACAAAGGAGTTCAACTGCATTACTGATAAGTTTTAATCAAAGTCATTAAATTACCAATTCTAGAAAAGTAATCAATGAAATATAATAGCTATCTTTTGGTAGCAAAAGATACAAATTGTATATGTTTATACAGGATCTTTCAGATCATGTGCAATTTTTATCTGACCATCAGAAATACTAGTTTAAAATGAATTTCTATATGAATATGGATCTGCCATAAGAAAATCTATTTCAACTCTAATTTTATGTAGTGAATAAATTGGTGGGTAATTGTGTTTTACAAAGAATCCACCTGACTTCCCCTAATGCATTAAAAATATTTTTATTTAAATAACTTTATTTATAACTTTTGGAAACACGTAGTATTGTTTAAACATCATTTGTTCTTCAGTATCTTTCATTCAGTAGGGCAAACTGAATGAAATATTATTAGCTGTCTGTTGTAGTACAATGTATCCAATAGATAATCAATAAACTTTGTTGTTTTTAAACTGACTTCATTGCAGTAGTGTTTAGGTAATACTTCTCCAGAAACTAGTGAAATCAAACCACAGTAATTTTATCTGCTGAGTATATATATCATTGTAATCAATTACTTCCAAATGTCTTTAACAAGAAACAAATATATTAAAAGAATCCTAGGTAACTATGAGTCACCTAGGGCACCATGAGTGCACCTGTAGACCAAGCTACTCAGTCCTTGAGCCCAGGAGCTGGAGGCCAGCTTGGTCAATAGAGCAAGACCTTGTCTCTCTCTCTCTTCTTTTTTTTAAGAGTCAGGGTCTGGATCTGTCACCCAGGCCAGAGTGCAGTGGCGCGACCACTCCTCCCACCTTAGCCTCCCGAGTAGCTGGGACTACAGGCGCGTGCCACAACACCCAGATAATTTAAAAAATATTTTTGTAGGGACAGAGTCTCACTGTTACCCAGGCTGATCTCGAACTCCTGGCCTCACGCGATCCTCCTGCCTCGGCCTAAGCTCTGGGATTGCCGGCCTAAGACACAGAGACCCGCCCCGCCCGTCTCTAAATAAATACCTAAAAGAACCCCAGGTAAAAGCTAAAGCGAGGATGAAATTCTAAATGAATTTCTGAGCAGCAGCTATCCGTAGTGAACAGTGACGATTTGTGGTGTGTTCTCTGGTAGGCACACTTTTCAAATTTATGCAACCTTATCCTTAAGATTTGGGAAAAAAACTTACAAAAAATCTTAAACATGGTTTTCCATCTACAATTTTTCTTAACTGTAGGGATATATTAAAAATAAATGCTAGACTCTTCCAGGCATTAGCGGGGATGTGGCCCGATGGCAAGGAGGGGCCGCCCCCACCAGGACCCCAAGCAGTTCTCGGACCTGACTTCGTAGGCCTGTAGTTGTAACCATAGCAATGCCCCAGATGCTTGAAAACATTTCTGAATTGCGGCCCTATCATATTTTTACAGCAAAACCACCCTTATTTTACATATTACTAAATCTTCTTTTCACCTTCATTTCATCCCCCGTAAAAGTTTAAAGGATGAAGATTTTTTTACCTGAAAAAGGTTATGAGAGAAATATTAAATTTAAAAGTCACTGTGGAGACCACCTCCTCCGTGTAAACGAGGAAGGGTCATAGGAAGATGCTAATGGGAACGCGCCGCCAGACTCTAAAAGCCATTAACATTGTTTCGGCCGTTAGGGCGGTTGGCGGCAACTCACCGCCCAGCGGCGGTTGCGTCGCAGCCAGAAGCGTGACTCCGCGCACGCTCCCTTTCCGCTCCTCCACTCAGAGCCGGGGACGCGGCGCGGGGCCCGGCGGAACTACAGCTCCCATAATGCTTTGCGCGGCACACGGTGCTTTACAATAGAAGCTCGGTTGGAGAGGCCTGCGGAGAAAAGCTGGGAACGGCCGCTTCCGGCATGTTTATCTCTGGACGAAGAACAGCCGACAAGTGGAGGGCGGAGGAGAGACTCCAATGCCCAGCGGGCAGTGCGCGGGCGGCGCTTGCGCGATGCGCGGACGGGGGGGCGGTCGGGCCATTTAAATGTGTGTTTGTGGGTGAAATGGCTGCGCAGGTCGGAGCGGTGCGCGTAGTACGGGCGGTGGCGGCGCAGGAGGAGCCGGACAAAGAGGGGAAGGAGAAACCTCCTGCTGGGGTCTCCCCGCGGGGAGTGAAACGGCAGCGCCGATCTAGCAGTGGGGGGTCTCAGGAGAAGCGGGGACGGCCGAGCCAGGAGCCCTCTCTCGCTCCCCCTCACCGGCGGCGTCGCAGCCGCCAACATCCTGGGCCGCTGCCGCCAACGAATGCAGCCCCAACTGTCCCAGGCCCTGTTGAGCCTCTTCTCCTGCCGCCTCCGCCGCCACCTTCGCTGGCACCCGCCGGGCCCGCTGTCGCTGCCCCTCTCCCGGCCCCAAGCACCTCGGCCCTCTTCACCTTCTCGCCTCTGACGGTGAGCGCGGCCGGGCCCAAGCATAAGGGCCACAAGGAGCGGCACAAGCACCATCACCACCGCGGCTCCGATGGTGACCCCAGCTCCTGCGGAACGGATCTCAAGCACAAGGACAAGCAGGAAAACGGCGAGAGGACTGGAGGGGTGCCTCTGATCAAAGCCCCCAAGAGAGGTGAGAGCAGGCAAACTGCCCGACTTGGGTTCTAGGTCTCTCTCAGTTCCGATATCCTGCATCTTTAGGACTGAAAGACGCCAAACCCCTGCTTACCATCTGCTGCTCTACTTCCCTAAGCTCACTGGGGTGGACCCTGGATTTCAGATCGTTGACACGGTTTGATCTAACTACTTGAGGCTTCTCGCTCCGAGGCCGAGCTGTCAGTTACTAATCCCTTTGCCAGTCCCCCGGAACCTCAGCATTTGTTTTCAAATTCTGCAGGGTTTCCGCGCCGCGTTAGATTAGTAGGTGGGGTACTAAAAAATGCCTTTCCAAAGAAAAGACATGTTGCTAAAATCCCTTCTCCTTGTTTTGCTTGCTGGAAAGCTTTAGTATCCGCTCTCCCTTGCGCCAGAATAGTCAGGGGTATGGTTCCAGTCTTTCAGAAGGGAATTCATATAAAGGTTACACGACTCACTGGTTGACTTAGCTTCTGGAAGATAAAATATCACACGCAATTAATCTTGGTTCTTTTTAATCTAGAGATAAAAATCATTTTAAAGTTTTCATATTATCCATTTAAATTCTTAGAATAGTCGTGTGGAAGTTTTCTCTACCCTTTGATACTAGGAAATAGGACCAACAGTGCCTCTGAAAAGTGGGAATTTGTGCAGTAGATAGTAGAGGCTGGAATTCCAGTTGCATTTGATTCTGTCTGGCACAATTTGTGAATCTGTTAATTCCAATAGCCCTCAAGAATATTTAACTAGAAAATGTCAGAGTATCCAATTAAATGTGGGTTCTAGAAAAATTAGATTGGCCAAAACTGATGTCTTCCTGTTCCCAAGTACCTGTAGCATTTATTTATATTCTTTGTGGAACAAATATGATGCTTTTGATTATGCCATATGTTTGTACTTTATATATTATTTTATATAATTTGCTAGTTGTTTTTCCTCAGGGAGATTTAAAATACTTCTTTGTTTCTTAGTACTGGGCCAGTTAGGTTATTACGTGTTAATTAACCGATCTTTCAACCTAAAGTTTTGTGAGTCTTGCATTCTTTCCACGTATTGAGTCTTAAGGCTAATCATTTTTTTTGGTGGTGCTATTTCCAAATAGTGTAGTTCATTGCAAATAATTGGTCAATAAGTATTTATTGAATAGCATTAAATTTTTATTCATTTGGTGGCATCCAAATCTTATCCTTGGCAGTAGAACTTGTGGCAAGATGACAGAATTGCCAGTTTTCACCGCCAATATGCAATGATCTTGCTCTCTTTTTATTTTTACCTTTATTCCCTACTTTCTCATTTCGTGTGTGTGTGTGTGTGTGTGTGTTAACTGTACAGAACTAGAGGGAATCAGTGATCCTCTGGCTTAAATTTGTATTGTAGAAAAGGAAACTGAGGCCCAAAGTAGTAAAGAGGCCTGCTTAATCAAATCACAGTTAATTCGCACCAAGTGCAAAAAATTTAAATATTTTTTAAAAAGATGAATTATTGACATAACAGGGAGTAGAAACCAGACTCCTGAATCCTGCTTCGAGCTTCATCTCCAGGCCTCATGATGTTGCTTTCTCTTCCTGCTATTCATTTTTTCCACTCCTTTGTTTACCTTTTCCCTGTGCTTTGACATTACAGTGGCTTTATATCATCAAGGATCCCTGACCTGGCCCTGTTTTATGGGGGATAGTGGCGATAGCATGTGTAATAATTCACAATCTGCTTCTCTGAAGATTACACAGGCCCCACGTTCTTTAAAAAACACGCTTCTGACCCAATGCTGACTGATAGAACTTTCTCAGATGATGGAAATTTTCTGTATTTGTGCTGACCAATATGGTAGCCATATGTGGTTCCTGAACAGACTTGAAATGTGGCATGATTGAGGAACTGAAATTTTGATCTTATTTAATTCTAATTAATTTATAATTAGTCACATATGGCTAGTGGCTACCACATTGGACAACACCACTCTAAATATCTGTAGTTTGCCAATATGTGAAGAAGAGAAGTGGGTTAAGATAAGTCCATTTAAACATTTTAACTTTTGACTGAGAGATTGTTGGATTATATACCCAAACTATATTTTGGGTGAAAAAGAGTTTTTTGGTCAAATACATTTGAGAAAAACTGTATACTGTAGCCTTCTACATATGTAATATGAACTGGCAAACTGGCATTTTAAAAGTTTTGAAAACCCTACAGAAAATAAACTGATTTAACTTTGTTTAATCCAGGGTTTTGCACATAGTTGGACTGATACCTTTCTTGTCCTGTGAACATGTTTGTTGTTACAGTGGTATGCAGGAGGCATGCCTCTGGTATTAATCTGAGTTTAAATCATGACTCTCTTTCTGTGTGAACCTGAACAAATTGCTTTACCCTCTCTCAACCGCACTTTTCCTGTCTGTAAAATGGGATTGTGGTATCATTTATAAGGACCTTGTATGGATTAAATAGGGCATTGTGTCAAAGTACTTACAACAGTGCCTGGCTCATGGTAGGCACTTAGTTAAAACTGGCCTTTATTATTTTATTATGCATGGTCCTTAAAACAACTCTAAGATTAATAAGGAGAGTGGGCAGATTCTTGTTACTTGCAAAGCTATGTCTTTCCTTCGCTTATCCTCAGATTTTTGGAAACTATTTTAACTTTTTTTTTTTGAGATAATTAATGATTGACAGGAAATTGCAAACATACTCGAGTTCTTACCTTTTACCGGTTTCCCTCAGTAGCTACATCTTACGTAACTATTGTATAATGCCAACACCAGGAAATTGACATTGGAACAATGTATATGTAGTTATATGCTATTTTATCATATGTACATTAGTGTAACCACCACTACAATCAAGATACAGAACTATTCCACCACCACAAACCCTTTACAAACTTAGGCACTCCCTCTATCTCTCTATCGTCCCTGTCCCCTGGCAACCACTAACCTGTTTTTCATCTCTGTAATTTTGTCATTTTGAGACTATTATATAAGTTGAATCATACAGTATGTAATCTTTGGAGATTGCCCTTTTTCACTCAGCATGATGTCCCTGAGATCCATCCCTCTTTTTCATTGATGAATAGTGTTCCATGCTGTGGATGTACCATGGTTCACCTATTGAATCATTCCCCTATAAGAAAGGACATTTTGATTATTTCTAGTTTTGAGCTATTATAGATAAAGCTTCTATGAAAATTGATGTTCAGGTTTTTGTGTGCATGTAACTTTTCATTTCTTTGGTCGTATGGCAAATACAGTTAGCCCTCTGTATCCATGGGTTCCACATCCCTGGATTCAGCCAACCTGGGATTGAAAATATTTTCTTTTTTTTTTTTTTTTTTTTTTTTTTTTTTTGTTTTTTTTGTTTTTTTTTTTGAGACGGAGTCTCGCTCTGTCGCCCAGGCTGGAGTGCAGTGGCGCGATCTCGGCTCACTGCAAGCTCCGCCTCCTGGGTTTACGCCATTCTCCTGCCTCAGCCTCCTGAGTAGCTGGGACTACAGGCGCCCGCCACCGCGCCCGGCTAATTTTTTGTATTTTTAGTAGAGACGTGGTTTCACCGTAGTCTCGATCTCCTGACCTTGTGATCTGCCCGCCTCGGCCTCCCAAAGTGCTGGGATTACAGGCGTGAGCCACCGCGCCCGGCCTGAAAATATTTTCAAAAAAAAATTGTCTGTACTGGACTTGTACAGATTTTTTTTTCTTGTCACTGTTCCCTAAACAATACAGTATAACAATTATTTATATAGCATTTACATTGTATTAGGTATAAATAACCTGGAGATGATTTAAAATATAGGGGAGGATGTGCATAGGTTATAAGCAATTATTATGCCATTTTATATGAAGGACTTGATCGTCTTAGATTTTGGTGCCCTGGGAGGCTCTGGAACCAGTCCTCCGTGGATACCAAGGATGACTGTATATGTTTATTTATTTTGTTTGTTTTTTAAGATATTGCCAAATTATTTTCTGGAGTGTCTGTACCATTTTACATTCCTGTCAGCGATGTAAGAGAAATCCAGTTTCTCCACATTCTTGCCAGTATCTGGTATTGTCACTATTTTTAGCAATTTTAATAGATGTGTAGTGATATATCATCATGATCTTAATTTGCATTTCCCAAATGGCTAGTGATATTACACATCTTTTCATATCATAATTTGCCATCTATATATCCTGGTCAGTAAAATGTCTCTTTATACCTTTTGCCTATTTTCTAAT